TCCCTCCCTCCCTCACCCCCATCCCCATCCCCACCACACGCACAGACATAGAGACACAGAGAGAGAGAGAGAGAGAGAGGATGTCACCTTGTAAATGTCTTTTCTTTGACTATGACATCTACAACAGCATTGAGATAGACATCCACTCCACACAGTGGGGCTCAAAAAGTGACATAAGCAGGCACAACAGGAGATATATCTGGGATTCCATCGGTGAAGTGCATCTTCAGCTGCAAAGATATGGTACCTAGTCCGAGGTTGACTTCTGACAGCTCTGGTTCCGTTTGATCAAACATATCCACCACGTTACTGCATAAAAAAATTGTTGCAAAAATTTCAAGCCAACGTTATTTCTGAGAGTTGTTCATTTTCTTTGAACACCAAGCTATCAAAATTCTACGTTTAATTAACCAAAAAAACCACCCTAATCCTTGGAAGCTTCTTGCTTGCTTTGATCATCTTTATCCATGAACTAAGAAATATTTGATTAAATCCAAACAAAGAGCAAACTAACTAAACATTTGGGCTTTCTAGTCATGAAGAACACTACGAGATTGAAAAGTTTAATATTCTTCCTTTTTTATGCTTGAATAAATAACATGAAAACATAACTATTGTAGTTTTTTTAAAAAATATTTCCCTGTTTTCTTTTAAAGAAAAAAATGCCCCAGACATTGCGGGGGGCTTCACTTGAAATAATAAAAATTGCCTCAGAAAAATATGCATTTATTTTTCCTTTTCTGGTCCCTAGAGTCCCAAAGTTCAACTTCAGTTCTATGAACAAACAGCACTTTTTGTCTCTTATATAAACATGGGTTGAACACCAACTATGAACAGTAGGAACAAAAAAATCAAATTATTTGAACTAGAATTGAAATTTTGGAAATAGGGGGTCCAAATTTAAATGTGGCAAAGTATACATGCTATAATAATAGTATTTTTAACGTATTAAGCATATAAAAATGAAGAAGCTAAACAGAGCAAATAAATAAGATGCTACAGCTTTTTTTTCTTTTTCTTTTTTTCCTTTTTTCTTCTTTTAACAGTTCAAATAAATAAGATTCAACTTCAAAGGAGCTTAAATGGTTAAAGTGGATCAGAAAGGTTAAGATGTTGAAAACCAGGAAAGACTGCATCATGAAGATCATTCTGGTGCCAGTCATGGCATACCTTGTTCTTGATGCACACACAGTCAAAGAAATGTGTATAGGAGCATTCTTAAACAGACGAAGCCAATACCACTTTCCAGAAACATTTGATCCTCAATTTAAAGGGGCTTCATATTTAAGTCAGTGTAATTGTCCTTTTCTTTTTCTTTCCTGAACAAAAACCGATTCCTTGTGAAAAAAAAAAAAAAAAATAGTTTGATAAGTTAATAGCACTTCAAGTCCCATGCTGATACAGAAAATTATAAGAGTGCTCATACTCAATTCCTGACCAGTTTTTACTGCCCTCTGTTCTGCATGTCTAGAAATTCATATCCATCCCTGAAGGGGAAAGAAAAGAAAAAAGATTGAGGGCTCCCTTAGAATCATGCAGCTGTGTAGATTTTATCAATACATGGCTCAATCTACGCTACATGGACAACACAAAATTTGCGGTACAAAAATGAAAAGAAAAAAAAAAAGTAGGATGAATTAAAACAACAAAAGAATTTAATATACGCTATTTCCATGATTCTGCAGGAGTTCAAAAGAAGACATTACATTGAGGGTGCATCAGAAAAGACCTCATTGAGCATGTCATTTTCACCATCTGCCATTGAAAATAGTTCTGCATCTTTGTCTCCCTCGTTAGAAAAGTCACCCCTTTCAAGCTTGGCATGAGCTGCAACAAATACCATCTTCTGAGCTTTCTCCAAGCCGACCCTAGAGTGTCGATGCGAGCAAACCAAATTCATGATAGAACATTTACACTTGTAGCCACAGGATGTTGAATGGAGGAAAATGAGCCTTAGTGCAACCTTGGCAAGGGTCTTAAACTCGCTTAGGCAAGTTTCCCAGACAAGTCGCCTACTCTGTGGGTTGGCAATTTTCATCTTTCCAGTTAAAGGGTCTCGTTGTTTAACCTGAACTGCCTGAGCATAAAGTGGGTCTAGTCCTTCGGATCTCCATTTCATAAGCTCCATGAATGCGACATGAGCTTCTTCCCTGGACACCAACCGATTAACAAGTGAATCCACATCCTTTTCCTGCTCTTGCGAAAGGCACTTGAAGGGTGGAAGATATTTCCCATTTATGTCCCTCCTCAAGTAAAGAGGGTCCAGAATAAATGCAGCTGACCATGCTGGATGATAATTTTTTCTAAACCGCTTTTCTATAATTTTTTCCACTGGCTCTTCGGCTATGCTGTATTTTGCACACCATTCCTTCACTTTTGATCTCAGCTCTTCCCAAAGAGGCAAGCATTGCCCTATCAGTGGCCTTTCGGCTTCAATCTCTCGAGCCATCCCTCGGATCATCTTTACAAATGAATGAACTGCCTCCACTTCATCCCAAAAGCGTTCATTTTGTATCAGACTAGAAACCTCAGTCGCAAGTGAATCCTCCATGCATGCCAGCTTATAGGACTCGTCTAACACAACCATTTGAAGCACATGAGCACAGCTAAGCAAATCATCAAGCATAGCATAAACAGGAGAAAAGTTTTTGGATGTATCACAGTTTGGCGAAGGAACATGAAACAACAAATGGCCCTCTAACTCCTGCACCTTATACTTGTTTAAACAATTCCTAACTTGAGATTTGGTGCTTACAAAGTTTGCAACCTTCAAGCAATTTTCAGTAACTACCCTGAAAAGTGGAAGCTCTTTGTTAAAATCCTTTATCAAACTAATAAAACCCTGAAGCTGGCAAGAGAGATTTACCATCCAATGATACTTTATCTCCAAATTCCTCAACGCCTTGGCCTTATACTTATCTGCAATTATCCCCACACATTTCTGCAGATCACTCCCACATATCTCGTTGACCGTATCCAAAATAACCTCTTCGGCATACTTGGATGATACCAGTCCCCCTGTAAATAGTGCTTTTTGAAACACAGTAGTACCATTTGGAAGATTGACCATAAATTTAACTACACTCTCTTCGCCACAGCAGTTCTTATTCTTCCAGCCATCTGAAGCAATTTGAAAAGACGCTGCATCTCTAATCCTGGCTTCTGAATCAGCTTTGGCCTCTTCAAACTTGGAGTCGAGCCGAGCTCCTAAAATGTCGGTTCGAGGTATTGAAGGCAAACCTAACTGACTAAGCAAGGCTTTGAACTTTGGGTGCTCAAGGCACGAAAGCGACACTGACCCACATGACTCAATAAGCCAATCAGTCAGTAATTCGATGGCAGAATCGATTTGTTCCTTACTTAGCCTTGGTCCAGGTGAGGCATGTGGACTCTTCAGTTTCTTGACACTGTTTTCCAGCATTTCAAGTGCACCCAAATCATCTTTCCCACCTGATAACACCAACTGATGCTGACTCAACCGCGGATTTTGAGCCACTGGCGTCCGCGGCGAGGAAATTAGCGGAGCATAGGACCGCGTCGGCTCAATCATGGCAAGCGAATGAACTTGATAGGAAGCAGTAAGAATTGGAGCATTCATTGGGGAGCTTCGCTTCTTGTGGTTGTGAAATGTCGGAGAAGGGATCGACGATATCGGCAACGGCGACGCCGAAGCATTAGACAGAGAAATGGAGCTCAAATTAGGACAAGTGCCTCGCTTCAAATGCTCAGATGCAGTCCGCGAAGGATTCGAAGCCGAAAAAACAGAATCACACAAAGAACACTTGAGCTTCACCGCTTTCGGAAGACTATTACTAGGATTCCGTATAAGAACAGGCTCCAAATGAGCCCAATACCAAGCTCCTTTCCCCTTAATAGCCTTCGTTCGAACAGTTACAAGGCACTCATACCGTTTATTCAAAGCCTTCGTCGCTAAATCCTCCGTCAACTCCGAAGAATCAATGTTAGGCGGTGAGTTCGTGGAAGCCATAAATCAAAGTAACAAAACCAAATTTGCAATCACAACAACGAGTCACAGACATTCAACTACAAAGCGAAAAGCTCACATCTCGGACTCCGTTCCGATAATCGCTCCATGCTGCTACTCCCGAGCATCATTGTCCGGAAAAAACCTCGCCGGCGGTGGCGAGTGGAGCTGCAAAAGTAAAAGAGAACGGAGAGTCCGATCACAGGAGAGCGCTGGTTGAAGTTGAAGAGGAATGGCGGAGAATGATGAGTTGACAGAGATTGGAAATGGAGGGATTAGAAAAAGAGAGTGAAAAGTGATTTGCAGACAGAGAGAGAAGGAAAGCGGAAGACGAAGAAGCAGACGATGACGTTAATAAAGAATTCGGGAAAGAATAAACGCTGAGAGATTTCTACCGTTATATATATATATTAATTATATTATAATATTAAAATTAAAATTTTAGTATTCAACATTATATTTTATTAAATTTATTAGGATGTGTTTAAGTTTTTTTTTTAATTAAATTTATATTAAAAAAATAAAAATTATGATTATAAAGTTTTTTTTTTTTTCAATATTATATATTAAAAATGAGAAAAAATTTCTTGAAATTAATTTTTGTCTCAATTATCACCAAAATTAATGGATAATATCGGAGTAATGAAGATTGAAATAAGAGATTGAGACTCGAGAAAGCTTCTTCGTCCTCGTCCCGTGAACATCTCTACTTTTTTTTATGGAACGAGAGACTTGGTTACTATTTACAAAATTATATTAAATATATTTACATAAATTTTTTAGTTTTAAAAATTTCTATTTCGGTCTCACAAACTCTGTAACAGCTCAAGTCTCTCACAATGCACCTCTCTTCAGGGCCCAGCTCGTTCCACTCTCTAACCGATGTGGGATCCACGACTTTGATACCCATCAGCTTAAGTCTCTCACAATTTTCCTCCCTTGGAGGCCCAGCTCGTTCCACTCTCTAACCGATGTGGGATCCACAACTTTGATACTAACAACTCAAGTCTCTCACAATTCTCCTCCCTTGTGAGCCCAGTTCGTTCCACTCTCTAACCGATGTGGGATCTACGACTTTGATACCATCTGTAACAGCTTAAGTCTCTCACAATTCACCTTTCTTAGGGACCCAACTCGTTCCACTCTCTAACCGATGAGGGAACCACCTCCCTTAAAGCCTAAAGTCCTTGTTGGCACACTGTTTGGTGACTGGTTCTAATACCATCTGTAACAGCTCAAGCCCACCGTCTGATACCCATTTGTAACAGCCCAAGTCCACCGCTAGCAAATATTGTCTTTTTTGGTCTCCTCCAAGATTTTAAAACACGAGAGATTTTCACGCCCTTATAAAAAATGTGTTGTTCTCCTCTCAAACCGACTTGTGATCTCCATTATGAATATATATACATATATGTGGTTAAAATGAGTGGAAAAATGACAAGAAATAGAGTAAAAATTACAAAATTGATTTATATTTAAAGTTTAATTTAATAAAATTAAAAAATGTTAATTGGAAGTTAGATTTAATTATTAAACTCATGCACATCAAATCAAAATACATTAATGGTGATAAAATTATTGCACATCTATTAATGAAAAAGACCTCAAATAGGAGCTACCAATTGTCTAATTACTCTAGGAGAATCTATAACGCTAAAAAAAAAAATATAGGGGCAATTTCGTAATATCCATAATTAAAATTTATTCCAATTAAAATAATATAGAAATTAACCCAACAACTAATGTACAAAAAATCATTTTGTAATTAAATATAACAAAATATTTTAAATAAAATAAATTATAAAAATCATTTTTAATTTTATATAAAAGTTATAAATAATGTGTCACATACATTTTTTTAATTTTTAAATTTTTTAAAGAGAAAATATAATTTTAAAATTTTGTAATTAAATATAACAAAATCTTTTTAATTAAATAAATTATAACAATCATTTTAATTTTTTATAAAAATTATAAATAATGTGTCACATACTTTTTTTTAATTTTTAATTTTTGTAAGAGAAAATATAATTTTTAAAATTTTGTAATTAAATATAACTTTTTAATAAAATAAATTATAGCAATCATTTTAATTTTTTTCATAAAAATTATAATAAGGTGTCACATACATTTTTTTAAATTTTTTTAAATTTTTTTTAAGAGAAAATATAGTTTTAAAAAATAAATAATTTCAAATTTTCAAACTTACTTTATTCTATAATGTAATTAAGATATATTTTAAAATAGCAAAAAACACGTGTCAATTAGTTATTTTTTGCCTAATTAATTAGAGACATAATAATGTAATTAATCCTTTCAAAATGGGTAGCTTTTCTACTTTTACTATTACTAACGGTGATATTGATAGCTAAATTATGATTTAAAGAATTTAAATTTTTTATTTTATATGTATTATTATTTTTAAATTTTGTAATGATTAAGGAATTGGTGGAGTACTTATTATGCTAATTAATAAATATTTTATGATTAATTACCTTAATTAATTGAGTAAAAAGGAAGAACACTATTTTTTTAAAATCATTATGATTCTGAAAATTAATTCACTTTTAAAGCTCCGATAGAACCTAAAGATAATGGAGCCTTGGTGAATAATTATTAAGGGCATATTTGGAAAAAAAAAAATTCGGTAATCAAATATTTATAAATTATATAAAGATTTAGTGTAACACCCGAGAGATTATGAACTGATACTACCTCTAAATAAAAACGATATCGAGTGCATGATAGTTGAGAAAGACTTCAAAGAATTAAAGTTACTACTTCTACCCGACCATCCTGTTCAGTGGCTCAATTATAAGACAAGCAAACAACATGGTCACGTCGGTGTGGATGCAAGAGAATGTCAGAATACGTATTCCAAATCATGATTCGAGGACTGGTCATGAGGTTACAAATGGTATCGAAGCGGTACCTGACCTAGTAAGATACGATCCGAGGACGATCCAAGACAGAAGCTAGTGAGTATGTGACTAATGAGTTATGAATGAACCGGTATCATACCCAAATGAGAATGATGTTAAGAATAGGATAGTTGAAATTGAAGTTAGTACCTATATGAACAAGATGTAACTTTCTTTTCGGTGGAGCTCCAAAGTTGAAGCGCTTCAAAATAAGTAGGTAGCGTGTTTTGTCATAGTCGATGAATCCCTCAAACTAGACATAGTTAATTTAACCTATCTAAAATATTTCTCACCCAATATTTCAACGACGATTCCTATGATTATTTTTAATACTTATTTCTTAAATTCTTATAAATGGTAGAACATCTAAAACGAATCAAATAAATAAATAAATAAATAAATGTTACACGAATATCATCGATAACTTGTTGATAAAGTTATCACTTTACTCGGGAAGGGAACAAATTTGATCCAAAACCCGATAAGAAATTAAAAAAAAGAAAAGGAAAAACATCCAATATATACCAAATGATATTACATTTGAAGAAATTAAGAGAGAATGATGAGATTGGGGGGAAAAAGAAAAGGAAAATAATGAGAAGGGAATTATTATTTGGAGGCCCCAAATGGAAATAAATCAATAAATAAATTTAATTAAATAATATTTTGATAATGAAAATCATGTGGGATGGGATTTGTGACAAAAAAGTCAAAAAAGTTGGGTTTGGTTTGGGTGAGACATCTAATAAGCTCATCGGTCTTTCTCACCTCAATAAATAATTATTTTTTATATATTTTTCAAAAAAATTATATATATATATATAAATAAAATTGCTTCAAATCGAAACTACTTCATTTTTAATTTTAAAGTTTATATGATTGAGTCGCAGATAAATGCTTAGTCAAAACCTCTTTCTCATTGAACCCAACTCTTACCAACCGGTCTCAGCGGGCAAAAGACTGGTTTTGCAGGAGGTGATAAAGGTGATGAGAAGAGGCCGGGGGGTGTCTCCTGCCGATTGCTCGGGAGGAGAAGGGAAAACTCCGACGAAGAAGAAGAGAGATTTCAATGTGATCATACGCATCATTCTCTTCACCACAAGAGACCGGTCATCTCCAGTTTTGATCTGCAAAATGATGATCATAATGGGCAACTTTCGTTTGTTATTTGCAGCAACACAAATACAAATCAAGATTTCATGTTTCTGAAACATTCCACAGCTACAAGATGCATAAACTTCAGCTGCAATGATAATGTTGAAGAGTAAGTGAGAATGAGGATGATTTCAGGCGAACAGCGGAAGAATTTATCGAAAAAGTTAACAGAGAATAGAGAGAAGAAAGGCAAAGAACCTCGAGATCAGTCGAGTAGCTGGGGCGTCGATATCGGCTGGCCAGCTTAAACTGAATGAATTGAATTCATGGAACTTGTGTTCTAACATAAGAATGTCAGAATTTTGAAGAAGATACACATAAAAGCATGAGAATCAAGCAGATTCAATTAGACAATTAGAATGGTTTCTAGAATCTTGCTTCATGGTTTCATTGGAACACAAATCAAATTGCTCGAATTTAAACAAAGCGTTAACGATCAACATAAACCAGGTTGCTTCACCGCCATCCCGGCCAAACGACATCAAATTCATTACTTCCGAATAAGAACATCTGGGCAATGATCCTTATGCAGATCTTAGGAGCTAAGATGAACTTTCATAACCAACTATTATAATGAAGGAAGTTGCACTGAATGCATGGTGTTCTACAGAACCTTATTAACAAAAGCCAGCCAGGCCTGAGATAAATGAATACGTACACAAAGAGAACATTGGGAAACAGTGTTTGAAATTTAACTTAAAATGTTATTATTTCAGATACAGAGAATTCTAGAACATGAATAATTTACACAAACTTCTGCACCTAAACTGCTATAACGTTAATTGGGATACAACACACAAGAACCTACATGCTGAGAACAGAACAAATAAGCCTAAAGGATCAAACTCCTATCTAGAGATGTTACCTGATGGCCACATATACGTCAGTTGTTTAAACACACTTAGTTAGCCCTTTAAAGAATCAATGAGCTCATACCATTGATAATCGAGGTCGAGGAAAGCCAATGCACCAGCAAATCTGCATGAAAGATTGATGTGCAGGGGACGATTATGATCAACAAGAAACCTCATGGTTTGAATGGTTGAGTACACCTCTTGATTCTTGTGGAAATGGTAACTTTTCGTTGACTTGTGGAGTTTTAGACGCTGGATTTTGGTCTAAAGAGGTTGGTTTATCTTCAATTAGAGTAGATGGGACTATGGCCTCCACTCCGCCAAGGACTCCGTTCGTCCCTTCGCCAGAAAGAACATCGGCTGGAGGTAAAATTGCGTTCGATTTAGGTTCCATCCTACTCTTCTTTGGTTTATGTTCCTTCTGGTGAACTGGGGG